CTTGGAGTCAAAGCCAATGTGATGGCAATGACAACATGGAGAAACTCAAGTGGGAGGTCTGAGTGTTCAGCTGAGGCGCAGGTGGGAAGGAGGCAGGATGCGTTCTGCATTTGAGGGGAGGTGGATGAGATACAGCCTGAGTTGCTATACCCGAGAGTGGTTTGGGGCCAGACTTTGGGAGAGACCCTTAGGAGACAACGGTCAGAATGCAGGACTGGGGATGGGAGGTGGCTGAGGGCAGGATGGTTCCAGATACGTGCAGATGCACCAGCCCCCGCCCCCCCTGCAGAGTTCAGGTGGAAGTCATCAGACTGCATGAAAAGGCTGCCTGTGATCCTTTGCAGAAGCAGACAGGCACACATCATAAATAAGCAAGTAGCCTCTGAGTTGGCTGGTCTTGGCTCAGGAATGGGGACAGGAGGGTGCGCGCTCCTGTTGTCCAGATTCTCACACGGCTGCCTGCCGCTCTGGCTGAGCTCATTATTCTCTCGCCTTCTAAATATTTTAGAGTTGAGATTTGCTTTGCCGCCATCCTGAATAGCTTGCACACTTGGAGAGGCACGGCAGTTGTCCGGGCTGGTGTCGATTTGTCTTACAGCCTCGCCCAGCTTTGGCCAAGGGCATGCTAAATAAGTCACTCTTTGCAAGTCCCTCAGAGGGACGATTCTGGAGTTGAGCTCCAGGCACGGTGCTGTTTCTTGCTGTGCAAATGCATGTGTGTGCTCCTTTTGCATTCCCAACTTTCGTGGAGAGATCACTTTCTGTCCTGCAGGCAGGTTGGGACACAGATGCTTTGTCTTACTGCAAGCCTAGGTTGAAGGCCAGGGTCCTGGGGCATCCTCAGGGAGCATTCTGAAACTGGCGGTGCTCAGTGGTTTGTACGTACCTCTCAGCTGGTTCCCAGACAAAATCATCAAGATGATTCCCTGATGGTGCACAATCGGAGAAGGTCATTGGACTATAGAGTTAATCCTTTTAAACATCCTCCTTTTACGATAAGAGAGCAGAGGCCCAGGAAGATGGGGTGTCTTGTGAAAGACCCCACAGTGGATTCAGTGATAAGCCAAAGCTTTAGACTTGTCCACCAGCATTGGGCCAAGGATCAACTGGTGGCTTTAAACCACCAGCCTTTCTGCTATCAGTCCAATGCTTAACTACTGCACCACGAGGACTCCTTCGGAAGCCAGCTGGACATCTGAAATCAAGGTCTGGGCCACATTGTGGTCCCTCTGAAGCCACTAGTGGCTCTTCTGTCTTCCTCTCTTTCCAGATTCTGATGGTTACCAACCGTCCTCGAGAGTCTGGACTTGTAGCCACATCACCCAGTTGCTGTCTCTGCCTTTCCTTCTTAGCTGTGTCTCCAAGTCTGAATTTCACTCTTTTTACCCAGACACCTACCATCAGACCAGGGCCTGCCCTACTCCTGCACAGCCTCCTCCTCACTTCAGTATATCTCTAAGAATGTTTGTCTAGATAAGGGCTCTAGTGTAAGCATTCCCTGGTACCCAAGGCTATCACTAGGACAAACGCTTTGGAATAGCACAACTCAACCCACCAGGGGGACCTTCATGGTGTCTAGTTACCATAATAACTGAGGTAGGTCATTGCCTAAATGTACTATCAGTTTAAGTAAAGTGGTTCAAGTGGAGACTTCTAGTTGTATTATTAGCTAGCTTGTTGTTTTTTTTAACCTTGAACAAATTACTAGGCATCTCTGCATCTCGGGTTTCTTCTGTCTAAATTGGGAAGGATAATATCACAGGAAAAGTTCCAGATGGTAGAAGACCCACAGAGTCCGCAGCTATACACGTACCAGGGTGTCTTCAATCACCCCCAAACATGCGGACAGTGGAAAATGAGTAGTGAAGGCAGGGGGAGGCGGAAGTCTCTGCTTTGGGGGTTGGTGATGAATAATGAACATGCCGTTGGCTGCGAGGACATTGAAAACCCTGTCTCGGAAGATGTGCAACCAGGATGGTCCAGAGAAGTGAACCTGCTGGGACTTCTCACATGGAGAACCGGGCCCAGAGAAGGAGTGCATGCACAGTGCAGTAGAAAGTGAGCCAAGAAGAGGCAGGCCCTCACGGAGATGGATCGACACAGCGGCTACAATGGGCTCAGGCGACATTTGCAAGGAGGGCATAGGGGCGGCTTGATGGTGTTCAGTTGCACACAGGGCCTGGTCTAGTCAGCACCCAGCAACATGGCATCATAGGAACGAATACCACTATCTTCAGTTTTCCTCACTAATAGTCTGACTAGCTTGGAATAGTTTGTCTCATATTGGGTAGTTGACCTAGGCAGTGCTTGTTGTGATTAATTGATTTCATGACTCTGAAAATCCTTTTTGTGGTATAATAATAATGATTTTACAATACTTATGAAATAATCGAAAAAACTAATGCGATTGGCCTAGGGTACACAAAAGGAGAAAGGCACGGGTTGGGCCCTCAAAAGATCCCTGAGTTAGCTACATTGAGAAATTAGTTACATTGAGGAGTTAGCTACATTGAGGAGTTAGCTACATTGAAGAGTTAGCTACATTGAGGAGTTAGTTACATTGAGGAATTATCTACATTGAAGAGTTAGCTACATTGAGGAGTTAGCTACATTGTGGAATTATCTACATGGAGGAGTTAGTTACATTGAGGAGTTAGCTACATTGAGACGCTACATTGAGGAGTTAGCTACATTGAGGAATTATCTACATTGGAGAGTTCGCTACACTGAGGAGTTAGCTACATTGACTGGTTAGCTACATTGAAGAGTTAGCTACATTGAGGAGTTAGCTACATTGTGGAATTATCTACATGGAGGAGTTAGCTACACTGATTGGTTAGCTACATTGAGGAGTTAGCTACATTGATGCACAGTCCAGCCTAGTGCCAGGTGGGTGTGCTTGGTGCTCTGTAAATTAGCTTATGTGGCTCACACCCGGAAACCTGGTCCATCTACAGCCACTGTAGCCCAGATGACCTGGCGTCAAAGGAGGTGAAGGCACTACACAGCCTTCTGTGTTGACTGACTGGTACTCACCCCATTGGCTCTACTCGCAGCCGAACCAAAGGCAGGCCTATACGGTGAGCAGTCATACGAGAGATAAGTTCCCTCCTTAGACCCATCAACAGTTTGCAATCCAAAGGGCAGCGTTTGCCTGAGGAGAGAATCCAGAAGGCAGGGAGGGTTGAGCCAGAAGAAGGAAAGGAAATGGGAAAGACATGGACTAAGTAGGAAGAGGGATGACTGTCCCTGAGATGAAACAACATAGGCACCGATGGTTGAAGGGAAAACTGGTTGGTCCAGAAAACCTTCCCCTGGCTCACATGGGAAAGCTTAAATGTAGATGGAGCTCATCGGAGCAGATTGTCTAGGGATTTGAACTCTGATCCCATGCTGAGGATGGCCCAGAGATGCGGATGCCCTAAGCTCCACTCACTGGCCCACCCCGTGGCTAACTCTGTGCCCAGCACAAGCAGACACTCACTGGGGTGTGGTTGAGGGCCTGCTCCAAAGCCAAGACTGATTGTGAAAGGCCAGGAGGTATTGATGGATCCTTAGCCAGACCTCAGCCGGACAGCCTCAACAGAGAGAACAGGGCTCCTGGAAGCCGCTGTCTTCGTGCCCATACCTGTCAGACACAGCGCATTTGAGAAGATGGTAAGAAGTGGCTCAGACCATTATCGTGATGTGACACGTAGTGGAGTAGCAGTGTGGGAGTGGTCTCATGAACTCACAAGAAAAACCAAGGGCCTTGAAGCCTGCTTGCCACCCGAAAGGGTAGCGAATGGCAGAAGGTGGCAAGGACCACATCTGTTGACATATTTCTTCTTTCTACACAGGGGGATGTGGGATCACCAGGGCCCCCTGGCACACCAGGCTCTGTGGTAAGTCTGACAGTCATTATTGGCTGGAATTACAGACTCATCCACGGATGGAATCAGGATCCGGGGAGCATCTGTCCATCCAAGGATTGGGCAGAGCTCTCTCAAAACTAAAAATGGGTGAAATCCAAGAGGGTCAGAGGTGCCATGCGGACACCTTCAGAGGAGCTGGCAGAGGGGAACCAGGGGGGAGAAATTGCTTTGCACTAATGCCTGCTTTGTCTCTCAGGTGCAGAGAGAGGGTCTGAAGGGGGAGCAGGTAAGGGGGCTGTGGGGCCCATCCCACTGATGGCTTTGGGCTGGTAGCAGGTTCAGAAAGGCCATAGCCCTGGGGCTGGACCTACATGCTGAGGTCAGATGGGATTTCTCAGAGATGTGTCCGGGCCTAAACATGTGTATGTGGTGTGGCCGGGCCATCCTGGGGACTCAGGAGGTCAGCCCGGGGTTGGATCATTTCCCATGGTGGTGGTGGCCCCATCATGCGGAAGGGGAGGCCATGACTGACCCACCTTTGCCTGTGTTCCAGGGAGCTCCAGGACCCCGAGGTCACCAGGGCCCACCTGGGCAGCCAGGAGAACCGGTAATTCATTCCTGCCCAGGTCAGGGGCTTCTAGTCATGTCTTGGGGGGTGGGTGCAACAGAATGTCACAAAAGGGGTAGCTTGAAAGAAAATCCCTTTACTGTCCCAAAGTTTTATTCTGAGGTTAACCAGCTGCAGAAAAACCACAGACACCACTGCCATCCATACCCACTGCCATCCATACCCAGACTCCAGCAACCCTACAGGCTAGCAACCCAGGTGGTGGCTCTTTATGGAAGCAGACTGCCACGTCTCTCTCCTGG